GGTCAATTCTTTTGTTTGTGACCAATCCACGATTTACAGTTTTCTGACTTCATCTCCCCAGTTTATCATGGAATTAAAACAATGTTCAAATGTTGATAAAAATCAAGTACTTCTACCTGATGCGGGAACAGACCATAAAAGCTTGCTTAGCTGCAGGTAAATATAAAGAGGACATTTTATTTTTACCCTTTTGTAGCAGTCTAATCAACAAGTCTCTGAGCACTTTTACAAATATTTGGTTAAATGTGAAAATAACTACAGTGTTCCTGATAACGCATACCTTTAATTCCCTTTTACAGAAGAAGAAATGAAGGCAGATAGGGACAAGTCAGCCAAAGCTATGCAGCAAATTTGGAGCAGAAGTAGGACTGAAAGTGAAGAAAACCCTAAGTCTTTATTATTCAGACAAACAAAAGGCAATTCTGTTTGGATACAATTTATCTCTGGTTATCTCATGCAGGTATTCAGAAAATTCAGCTCATCTAATTCCTTTTTTTTTTTTTTCTTCTGCCTAGAATTATTATCAAAGAAATTAAACTCAGTGGAACAGTGGTCTTTCTGGATCTTTAAAAAGAAGTTATTTCTTGATATAAGATGTTATGAGGAACACTCAATACTTTCAAAACAAAATATCATTAAATGATTAGTTGAGAAAATCTGGCTCCTCTAAATTGATAGTAATTTTATCCAAGGTTATATTTAGATTAAAAACATAATATATAATTTCTAATTAAAATAAATAAATGTGGTTTGTCTTTTTATTTTCCTTGTCAGCATTTTTTCTGTATTTATCAGCAAAACTAGTACATCTGATTCTAATTTCTACTAAAATACTAATAAGTATTGAGTCACTTTCCTTTTGTAAATTCCTATTAAGTATTTTTAAATGCATCTCACAATGTATTTGTGTAGTCTTTTTTTTATAAGAACAGTAAGACCAGTCTGCATCGAAACTTATATTCACTGATGCATTTAGTTGCTTCAGGCCTGTTTGCTGGCACAAGAGTAACTATAAATCTGGTTTAACTGGCTGAGTACATCAGATTTATGGCTGCTTTGTGTTACAGATGCAAACACATAGCTAACAACCAGATCAGTGAAAAAAAAAAGTCCCAAGAATCAGAAAAAGTCATACAATAAATTAAAGTTGTCATTCAATTTCTGTGCCACAAGACCATCGCTATTTGAATGTGGATAGCAAACCAAATTTATAGGTCAGATCCCATTCTGATGGAGGAAAATGCAGCTGCATTTACATGGTACACCCAGAAAAATCACACAAAGAACAGTATTTGATCTTTTATTTTCTTGTTTTACAATAACAGACAAGAAACACATTGAAACTCCATGCAGTTCAAGGCAAATTAAGGTCACTTATTATCCCTGACAGTTTCTTCCCTTTGGGAGAAAGCAAAGAATTTCATAACTCTAAGACTTTCTTTGTTTCTGTAGGGGAACTGTGAGAGAGAAAGAATCAAGAAAATCCTAGGTAATTTTCTGGTTTTCCATCTGTGTAGGGCTTGAAACTCCAGAAGAACTTCCTGAACGGTTGGGAAAGAAGTGAGAATGTTCCCAGGGCCACACCTCTCTGATCTGCAAGTGTGTGTTACCCTCTCCTGGTCCCAGATAACAGGTAATTGGTTTCAGTAGTTGTGGTTTTTGTTTTTTTTCAGCATCTTGAGTTAATATGTTAACAAAAGACTACATTTTGTTTCACAGGTGTTCAACAGTTAGAATAAGAACTGATTTTTGGAGATGTCTGCCCATTTACTTTGATTTCCAACTAGACCTGAAGCAGGTAAGTTTATGCGTGTGTGTATTCTTGATAATACCAGCAGATGCAAATGTACTTCCAAAGTCAACATATGTTTAGTTTTAGCTCACTTATTAAATAACTACATTTCCAAATTTTGAGAGGTTACTGGTGTAGTTTTGTGGATGAATGCATAACCGTAGCATCTCTCAGGCAGTGTTGAACAGAGGTGTTTCTCATGGTGTTCATGAAGAAATGCCATAATGAGATTCCCAGTGCTTAAAGCTGGGTGAAGGCTGTTGAGTTAGTAATAGTGTTGAGTTGGATTAGACGGTTTGTCATCTGAATGGTTTTGTCAAACTGGGGGCTTTGGCACCGAATTTGCCTGGAGATGCCTTTAATTCTGGTTCTCTTGGTGGGGTAAAACAGTCCTGTGCTGTGGTCCCAAAGTGGCAAGGACAAGCTCATCCTGACATGCTTTAAGAAAGCATTCTGTAGCTTTGCTTTAGAGAAACTTTATCTCCCACATCCTGAGTTTTTATTGGACACTAGAAACACACGCAAAAAATCAGACGTAAGAAAGAAAGACAATGGAGTGAATTACACGTTGGTTATTAACAGAGTAGGAAATGAACTGTGTTGATGGAGGACTGCGGGAACAGTACAAGTTATGATTAAAGGGTGGGCAGACCTGCCTTAAACAATAGAGTAGAAGTGGGAAGCAAAGAATGACAAAGTTTTCCTGTGGTGGGATGGTGGGTGATGCCAGACACTTAAGATCAGTTCATTTACACGCTGAAATTCAGATGCTTAGCACGAGTATACAGGAGCATTAACATCCGAGCCTGTAAAAACAAAAGAGCACCCTCCCCTGCCCCTCACATTCATAAATGCACATTCATAAATATGGAGGAGGAAGCGGTTCACTGAGCGCTTAAACTATTAAGTGAGAAAAAGGTGCTTGGTGTGAGCATAGAGACAAGCAGCAGCAGGCTGGCTGACGTCTGAGTCCTCGGACACCTGGAGGTCTGGGCTGCTGGACAAGACAGAGCCCCTCGAGAGCAGGACCCCTCTGCAAGCATGCACTGGGCCTAAAACACCAAACCCAGCCCTGCCCTGTCGAAGGCGGCTCGTACTGCGTTACTAAAATGAAGGCTTGGCATCCTGTGCTGCTAAAAGCCAGCTTGAATAACTAAAAGCCACACACACACAAATATTTTGTAAGAGCTTAGAGGACCACGACTAGTCCTCGGCTAGAAAAGACGAGCTGAACAGACCTTGCAACTTCTGCTGCCAAGAGGAGGCAGTGTCCCCCTCCCCACCTCCACCTCCGCCGCTCAAGCTCGTGTCCGTTTGACCTTTGTTAGCAAACTGAGTTAAGCTTGCAGAATATTAACCCAGTTAAAAAAAAAAAAAAAAAAGAGGCTTTTACTACGATAGAGCACCAAAATGTCAACCCTTCAGTTAGCCAGAAATCAACCTCCCAGCCTGAAGCAAGTAAGAGAAGAACTGGGGAAATGAGGGAATGCACTTTTCCCTGACCAGCTCAGCCGTTCTGCCTGAAAAGAAAAGGTGTTAACAGTGTTAATCAACGGGCTGCTGGCGGGTGCCCAGGTCTTCAAGTCTGTAACTAAGCAGGGTGCCATTAATTGTAATGGGGCCGCACTGAATCCCTGCCATGGCAGATCCGGTATTATTTCGTGGTCCACAAAGCCATGTGGTTACCCATCTAAAGCTTCTCCTCAGCAGGTCATACTTATCCATACCCTGCTACCTTGTCCTCCTGCTCACTTTTTTTTTTTATAACTCCTGAACTGGTGAAATACATTAGAAGTGGCTACATATGGACATCAATGTATAGAGGGATTTTCCTAGGTATTTTACATCTCCCTTTCTCCTTACCTTTAGCCATTGTGCTAGGTATTTGGACAAATCCAAAGGGGGAACTTAAGCACAGAAAAATTGCCTTTGGAAACCTAAATTGTTAGGCATCCTAATAACTGAGGGAGCTGTCTTGAGAGAGGAATGGAACACGCCATCAGTACAGGAGCCTCCAAATGATCTTCAAAGAAAAAGTGAATTTTGAAGGTGGAGGCACGTTCAGATTCTGCCTGTAGAGCAGCACAGCTCTCCTTGATGGTCATGGGGCATCTCTCTTTTGTGGCCGTGGTGACATGTGGCAGTTTTCAGGGCCATCTCCCTCTGTCCTGGCAAGGAAGCTTATCAGGAAACCTCACGACCAGGCACCCTGCTTCAAAAGTAAAATATCTTTAAGCTCTGAAGGCCACTGGCAGATTTAAAGACAAGGCAGATTTAAGGACACAATTGGCAGATTAAAGACAAGGACAAGCCAAAAAGGTGAAAACTTTAGAGAACCATTGTAGGCATGACTTGGGACAATCTTACATTTTGCTTCAGGAGAAATTCAAGACTGGTTTCTGCAACTAAATCCACAGTGGAAAATTACTGAATTTCACCAACTTCTTTTGGGAAAACATGAGCAGAAATAGCCCCACAAAAAGGTCCAGCTGGAAAGTCTGCGCAAAAGTTTAAAGATGTTTCAGCAAATGCTTCCCACATATTAGTACTAAAAGATCAGAATAGTAAGTTCATAATGTCTTTGAATAAATATTAAGAAAGCTTAGTAAAGCTGGAAAAATACTGAAGGTATGATTTTGGCTTCTTGGTGCCCTGGATGTGATTTCTTGATGTGCGTTTGAAAATAAAAACAAAGCCCAAACACTCATCACGCCATGCTTCGGGACTTTCCCTTATCTGGAGTCTCACTGCAGAGGTGTTAAGCACAGCATGCAACGATGCTGTAGCTAATTTGGGGCTGTTATTAAAGTGAGTGGAAGTTCTCCACGCACCTATGAACTTACGCAGTTATACTCTGAGGCTTTTGGATGTAAGTGAATTTTTATTGAACTTGTGAGTTCAGTTTTGGCAGAGAGCAGCCTTATTCCTTTCTAGATCTGCTTTACAGGTGAGTTAACCCAAATCACTCGAGTCTTATAAGACTCTGACTTGAGACTACTGACAGCACTAATCTTTTCAGAGTGCCCCTTTCTTAAGCAGACCTCAGGGGCAAAAGAAAAAAGGAAGTAATTTCCCAGGCCAATTTTACGAGCATTCGCTATCAGCTTGGTTCAGGGAAGGGCTGAGGCTCCTGATTTGCATACGGCGCTTTGCGAAGCAGACGACTAATGAGTGCTGATTACTGAGCTTCAAAATCCGTCTCAACCCCCCCCCCGCTCGGGGACTGGTGTCTCTCGCTGCTCGCTTCCTTGTGGCGGGTTTGTTTTGCAGACGGGCGCAGGAGGAAGAGGAGGAGGGAGGAGGAAGAGGGCTGGGGGAAGGGAAAATCCCCGCTCCCCCCTATCGGTGCCCGGCCTCGGCGGGGGCAGGTGCCCGCAGGTGGATGCGGTGCCCGGCCCCTTCCCTCCTCTCCCCCCGCCCCAGCTCCTCCCCGGCCGCCGCTGCTGCTGCTCCCGGCCGGCGCCGCGTCCCGCTCCGGATCCGCTCCGCTTCTGCTCCGCCGCGGTGGGGGCGGCCCCAGGTAAGCGGGGGCTCCCCCCTGCCCTGCCCTGCCCTGCCCTGCCCGGCCGTGCCTCGGCGCCTCCGGGGCCGGGGGGCTGCCCCTGGACCCTCGCTTCACTGCCCGGTCCCGGCCGCCCCCCCCTCTCTCTGCGTTTGCTGGCGTTTAACCGAGGCTTGGCTTTTGGGGGCGCCGAGGGACCCCGGTGGCAGCGTGGAGGCCGTGTCCCCCACCCCCGGTCCAGCCGCTTGTCCCCTTCCCAAAGGCTGGCCCTGCAGCGGTGGGTGAGGCGAGGTGGGACCTGGAAATCTGTAACGTGTTTTTTTTGGGGTGCTGGGGCCAAGCTGCAGAGAGCTGTGTGTATGCTAAAGCCGCCCCAGCTGGCGCTTCTCGAGGTGAATGTTATCTGTTCGTGCTGTCGTGATGAAGGGAAGAGAGATGCTGTGAGATGGGGCAGCTCCTTCGAGGTCACGGAGGCCGTGGCTGTTCCTATGGAGGTTAAACCAAACCTGATTCTGGGACCTCCTTGCTGTGTCACCGCCGTTCGATTTCCTGCAAAAGCGCTGACTTTTGGCTAGAGGTGGCACCATTTGTTGAGTAGCATTTTGGAAGAGCGACGTTGTTGATATGAGCAGAGCGCCTTCCAGGACGATCCATCGCATCAAAACGTCCAGGACAAGACCTTGAGGGTTGGAATCGAGCCCCCCTCTGCACGCTGCTTTGGGCAGCTTTCTTGGTGATCACACCTTACCGGCACCTAGAGTTTCACGGCAGGTTTGCAGGGCTGCGCGTAGGTCAACGAATTTGAGAGGCTGCTCTCACACTGCGCCGTTGTCCTGAGTATCCCTGTTTGCCCTGAGTTAAATTACACCTTCAGAAAGAGCCAGAGGGAGCAGCTTCCCCTCTGAAGGCTGATTTGTGCTAAGTGGGGCAGCGTTAGGTGAGGAACGCGACGGATGCTGTGTGGGACATCGAAAGTTTACGTAGGGCAGCGGATCTAGAGCAAATCTGTCGTGGCAGTCCAGCCTAGGTCGAAATGGTATTCTAGGAAAAACAGATTGAAGCAGCATTCTGGGTTGCTGGTTGGAATATTTCCCTTGGAGATGCCACTCCTGGAGGTACAGGACCTTCCCCCGCTGTGTGCAGTCTGCCTCAGTGCAGGGTCTGCCCACCCTGAGCATCTCTGGTGCTGCATCTGCAGCTCGGCTGCGTTAGTGCTTGTCCTGTGTCTTCGATGCGTGGATCCCTAAACCAGTCCCTGGCAATGAGGGTTCACCCTGTGCGTTGGATTCAAACCTCCTGCTGGTCAGCTTGCTTTTCTTCCTTATCTGCCGTAGACCCCTTGAAAGCGGTTTATAGCCCCTCAGCAGGTGGAGCTCACAGGTTGAGAACAGCTGACCTAGACAAATACCTAAATAAGCCAGTTTTGTTAACATTGCTGGCTTTTATTTATTTTTCTGCAGGGTGGGTGCCTCCTGCTAAGTGATAACCATGTCTGCAAGCTCATTTGTTTGCAACTTGGATGTGGTAAATAGGTGTTCCTGAGAGCTTCCTCCCCCCCCCCCCCCCCCCCCCCCATAGAAGCAGCCAGAGGCTCTCACTGCTGCAACCCGAGACTTGAATTTTGCTGCTGTTGAAGCTGAGGTTGTTTGCTTCTGCTATAGGGGAAATGGGCAGAGGCAGAACCGGGGGTGTAATATAGGGAAAGAAAGCACCGAAATGCCAGGCTGGCAGTTAGAGCATCCTCTAGCAATTCAGTGATCAGTGTATGAGGTGCTGGGTGCCATGGGCAATAGCTGCATCCGTACCAATGGATAGATCCAACTCCCACCATACCAGCAAATCTGATTCTTTTGGACTCTTGCCCTCCCTATCTTGGAAACAGCTTTTAGTAGGGCTATAACTCTTCTGCCACTCATCATCCACTCAGCTAGGCAACGCCTCCTCTGCCTCCTTTCCCACTCCACCTTTCCTAATTGCTTGCATGTGACTTTTTTTTTTCCCCCCTTATATATAAGCATCTTATTTACTTGTGATAGGCAGTTTCATGGTAACGTTTTTTTTTCAGGGAAGATAAACAGAGCATTACTCATACTATGAATACAGCATCCTACAACAGTTTAAAATGAGACTGGTACGTGTAGAACTTAATACCTGTTTTTTTTTTCTTTTGCCTGTGAAAGTAGTATGAATCTTGGTTTGCTGGCCTCGAGAATGCTGTTGTATTGTGGACTTTATTTGAGTTTCTGGTAGAGCTTATCAAGAGGTGCTTTTTTTTTTTTTTTTTTTTTTTTCTTTTACCACCTGTTGATAAGTGGTTCTATAGTTTAATGATGTTTTAGGAGCTAATCTGGAAGAGCTCCAAAGCTATTTCTTAGGAAACCTAGGAATGCTGAGGCTCTATTGTGGAAAACTGACTTTCTTGTAAATATTTGCAGTCTTGTATAGTACTCTGCAAGACCATAGAGTCACAGAATATCCGAGTTGGAAGGGTCCCACAAGGATCATCGAATCCAACTCCTGGCTCCACACTGGACCACCCTAAAACGAGACCATGTGTCTGAGAGCCTTGTCCAGACGCTTCTTGAACTCTTGTCAGGCTTGGTGCCCTGACTACTGCCCTCGGCAGCCTGTCCCAATGCCTGACCACCTCTTGGTGCAGAAACTTTCCCTAACCCCCAGCCTGACCCTCCCCTGTCCCAGCTCCATGCCGTCCCCTCGGGTCCTGTCGCTGTCCCCAGAGAGCAGAGCTCAGCGCCTGCCCCTCCGCTCCCCTCGTGAGGGAGCTGCAGGCCGCCATGAGGCCTCCCCTCAGCCTGCTCTGCTTGGGGCAGAACACACCAACATATTACTGCTTGGGCACACTGAGCAGAGCTTACCCTTATTAAGAAGGTTAGTTGAAAAGTGAGAACACTGAAATAACTCAATTTCAATTACTTCAGACATTCAAGTTCTTGTTGATTTGGTTTTGACCCATCCAGAGGTTAAATTTCACCCCAAAGGAATAAATTACGTTTACTGCAATGATAAAAAAAAAAAAAAAGGTAAAAATATCCAGTACTACTTCCAGATGTATTGAGGAACTCTTGTTGATGAAATTATATGAACATTCTTATTTAATTTCTTTCCTCTTTGAAAAGTAAACAGATTTTTAAACCTTTTTATGGTTTATTTATAATTCATGATGTTTTTAGTGCTGCTTGTTAAACAGGGACCTTGACCATGTTTGTTTATTTGTTGTCCAGGCAGTAAAGGCAAGAATTGCCCATTGTGCGAAAAGATTATGCAAGTAAATTTGGAATCACCTCTTTGCTCATTTGCTCCCCACCACTTACTATCACAATTGTTTACCCTTAGCTACTGAAGTTTCTTTGATAACATAAAATGGTTGGATGTAAACTAATAAAAGCATACTTCCTTTGTAGAATCATCAAGAGAAGCCATAATTTGTTGGTTTATTCTGTATTAAGATTGAGCTTTGCACTCCATTAACATTTTAATGAGTATGCTGTATTTCTTTATCTGGATAATAAGAATGGATATTTTTGGATATGAATTGGTGTTAGTCACTGCTTATCTAGATTGTTTGGATACTTTTATGCTTGCTTCTCTTAGAAGCTGAAATTGTCTTTATGTTTTTTTACTAATTTATTCAGTTGTTGGTCTTTATCATAGAGCTTAGCAAACAGCTAATAGCATTTCTGCTTAAGGAAATGCCACAAAATATGCATCGAAATAGTAAAGAAATATGGGAAGTGTACTGTTAGCAATATAACTTTGGCATCATTAGCCAATTGACTGAATTTACATTGTTATATTAGTATGGTTGAAGGTAAGTGTTCCATCTTGTTGACTTACATGTGTCACCTGTACACAATATATAGCTATCTCTATGGAAAAAGCTGTGGAAACTAAGGTAGCTGGTAGTACGTGCAGAGTTCTGCACCTCTAGAAGCATGGTACTGTTCTTAATTAGCATTTACAACATGGTGTGTGATAAGGAAGTAACATTTTTATTTCTTGCATGGAGAAACTAGGGTAAAAGCCTAGGGTAAAAGTCTGGTTTTATGAACAAAAACAGGACTCTATCTCCTGTTTGTTTTTCCATTGTAATTTTTTTATTCATCTTTATGGGATGTTGACTCCTGGTTATTGAAGGATGCACACAGTATAAAAGGAGCCATGACCTGTTGCTGCTGCAAGGAGGCGAAAGCAGAGGCTTGCCTTCATCTGGCAGTAGCAAGGTGAGGGGCTAAGGAGGACGGGGCAGTGAGGAGCACCTACCGCTGAGCAACGCAACTCTGCTCAGTGCCTTTCTTGTCCATGGGACAGTGGTCGAGAGGAGGAAGACAAGCCTTTGGGGGACTCATGTTCTAGGGAGTCTATATCCAGTTAAGTAGCAAGTTATCAAATGAAGTAGAGACCTATCAAATTGCCACTTTTTTTTTTCTTTTTAAATATACAGGATTGATTTGCAGGAATTAATTGAAAACTTTTTTTTTTTTCCACAAAAAAAAGTGTTGGATTCAGTTTGTCTTGGGTGAATCTAATCTTTTCAGTTTTCTCCTATTCTGACAACTTTTCTTGGAAAAAAAAAAAGGTATAAGTTTTCTAAGTCTAATAAACTGTGACAGAACTGTACTTATAACACTCCTTAGACACATATTAGAAGGAGCTAAGATATTTTAATAGTGGCTGCCTGCTGTGAGACAGTGTTCTATAGAATAGGATGGCTTGGGTTAGAAGGGGCCTTGTAGACCATCTACTTCCACCTCCCTCCTGCCATAGGCAGGGATGCCACCCACTAGATCAGGTTGCCCAGGGCCTCGTCCAGACTGGCCTTGAACACTTCCAGAAATGGGGCATCCACAACTTCTCTGGACAACCTGTTTCAGTGCCTCACTTCCCTCTGAGTGAAGAATTTCATCCCAGATCTAAATTTTGTTCTAATCTAAATCTTCCCTATAAGTCCCCTTCAAGTACTGAAAGGTTGTAATGAGATTCCCCCAGAGCCTTCTCTTCTGTAGGTTGAACATTCCCAGCTCTCTCAGCCTTTCTATGTAGGAGAGGTGCTTCAGCCCCTTGACCATCTTTGTGGCCCTCCTCTGGACCTACTTTAACAGATCTACAACCTTCTAGTGTCGATGGCTGTATATTTTATACTCTTACCATTGGCTGTTATTAGAAATGTTCAACATCTTTGATGATGACCTTGATGAGGGAATAGTGTCCACCCTCAGCAAATACGCCGATGATACAAAGCTGGGAGGAGCAGCTGCCATGCCAGAAGGTTGTGCTGCCATTCAGTGAGACCTGGACAGGCTGGAGACCTGGGCAGGAAGTAGCCAAATGAGGTTTAACAAATGAAGTGTAGAGTCCTGCACCTGGGGAGAAACAACTGCTGGGCTCCCCGGCACAAAAAAGACAGGTATCTCCTGGAAAGAGTCCAGCGGAGGACCACAAGAGATGGTATGGGGCATGGAGCATTTTCTCTATGAGGAAGGGCTGAGAGACCTGGGTCTGTGCAGCCTGGAGAAGAGAAGACTGAAGGGAGATCTTAGCAATGTTTATAAATACCTGAGGTGTGGGAGACAAAGGGATATGGCCAACCTCTTTGCAGTGGTTTGTGGGGACAGGACAAAGGACAATGGTCACAAGATGGAGCACAGGAAGTTTGGCACCAACATGCAAAATAACTTCTTCGTGATAAGGGTGATGGAGCACTGGAACAGGCTGCCCAGGGAGGTTGTGGAGTCTCCTTCTCTGGAGATATTTAAGGCCTGTCTGGATGCCTACCTGGGCAGCCTGCTCTAGGGAACCTGCTTTGGCAGGGGGGTTGGACCTGATGATGTTTGGAGGTCCCTTCCAACTCCTTCAATTCTGTGATTCTGTGAAATTATAGCATTATTTCTTTGCTTTCAGAGTTGTGGAAAAAAAAAAGCAAACTTGATTTTTGGAACTTCTGGAATGCTGGAGGGCCAAGTGCTTGTTCTGCTTAATATTGGAGTAAACTGAAGGGTTTGAAATTCAAGGGCTTGACAGCATATGAATGATGATTCCCTTTCGTTCATTGGCTATACTTTACCCAGTGCTGTAAGGTGTTACATGACAAGCTGATCTGCAAGGCTTTGCACCCTGGACATTGTCTTGTTCTTTGAAGCCCACTGCAGGGATGACTTCCATCCCTGTGTTCTTGCATAGGGATCCCTGTACCCTTTAACTCTGCCATCTCACTTTAAGGAACATTTGAGGTTTCTTCAGATGTACCCGGTAATGTGCCATTATAACTTGGCACATATTTGGGGAAATGACTGGTGCGGGAAGGGAAGGTTAATTCTGTGTTCCCACCAAACTTTTTTCTTATCGATGTGGGTTTACACTACTTTTATGTGGGATGTAAATTTAAATCTGTCAGATGTGTGAGCCTGAACTATTGGCCTGAGATAAGGCAGCACCATGCTTTCCAGTTCTGTCGCTCTTGGAATGGGGACTGTTTGGCAGGTCAGTTTGTTTTTCCATGGCCCATCGTGCTTATCCGTGAATTTGCTGCAGTATCCTTGATTTGTTTATAAAACTTTTTGAAGTGTCTCAGTGATGTATGTTCAAGAAACCTGGATTGTATCATTATTGGATGCTAGCCATCTTTTTTTTTTTTTTTTGTATTTGAAACGTGCAATCTAATGGGAGTCTAGTGTTTTTGGTGTAATCTCTTTTTAATACCATGGCAAATAATTTCATTGAAATGTGTATGTACCTATGTCTTGCCTATGTTTTGTGGTGTGATAATGGAAAATCTCTTATTAGAAGTTAGAGGGGAAGTAGTTTAACAAGGACTGAAATGGGAAAGGTGGATAACAGCAAGTTAAACAACAGCGATTTCTTTTCTTTTTTCCCTGTAGTTAATTAAAAAAATAGAATGAGGAAGTCTGTCATCTGCCAGCTTGTAAAGAATTTCAAATTGAAATGTAGAAAAGATTCTTTTTGTTTGCTTGTCATGTCTGGCTTACCTCAGAATCACCTAGTATTCTTCCTTCCATCTGTTAACGTTAAATTTCTGTACCTTTTTTCCTTCCTTCTCAGAGAACAAGGAACAACAGTATCTTCCTGTGAAGTGTTACTTGTCCGCTGAGTTTAGGCAGAACTGCATTTCCCAGCTCTACAATGAAGAACTGACTAAGAAGGGATGCGACATAAAAGAGAAGTCCTGCAGACTTAGTCACCAGTCTTGATGGACTTACTGTAAGTAGGAGTAGGACTTGTTTTCTCTTGTCTGCCATGCAAGTAAGAGTTCAACTGTGCGTTACTTTATTTATTTTTCGGTAGCACAAATAGGTGAATACCATGATCAACCTTCCTAAACTGTCACGAGGTATTGGCATGCTCTGGGTGCTAAGCTGCAGTTGACATCTGCTTCAAAGACACTTGAAATTCAGTTCTGGGTGAGGTGACACCTAGGTGCAGGCTCTAAAACAACCTTCTGGTTTAGGCTAAATTATGCTGTGTCTTAGTGCAGCCGCTTTTTATAGTAGCGGCTTGCAACACCGGCATTGTGCCGGTGTGCGGGGCTTGTTCTGGAAGCTGGAGAACTGTGTTGCTCAGTGTATGACTGAGGCACTTCCTGTGCTTTTTCTCATGTAGGGTAATATTATGAGAGGTCTCTGTAGATTAAATTATTTATTAAAATGCTTGTGTATGGCTGTGTATAGCCACCTGTGTTAGAAAGGTGACAGCAAACATTGTGCATTTCTTGTGTTTCTGCTAATCTTTGGTTTTACCTAATGTTAATGTTTAACTTCAAAATAAACTGCTATATGCCTGAAACTTTGGATGCAGCTCCTTTGTTTTACTGTTTCAGTAAGATTTGTATTCCTGTGGCATGCTGTTTCTCTGCCATGCTTCTTTCCCCTCTTTTTGGTGTGGTAGCCACAAAATATAACCAAGAAGAAAACTGTTTGCAACACAATGGAGCGAAAATGGTGTGGTTTGCAGGGATACCATCTGTAGCATTATTAAATGAGTTGGTGGCATTTCTATTTCCTTATGCTTTGTTCGTCTTGTTTCCGTGTCATAAGCTTCAGTGATACATGAGTAAGTGTTGAGAGAGGCAGGAGGAACTGTGCCTGGCGCTGACAGCAGGTGGGTTGCTGCCAGGGTGCTCTACAACGCTCCTCCTGTCAGTGAGGGTGAGCACTGCCTCAGTCTTCTCGGTTTGCTAGGTGCTCGTGTTGATGAATAGTGGCCACTGTATAATGCTCAAGGTTGTATTGAGAGGTTATTGAGATCTGATTTCAGGCTGTACCTTAATTTATACCCGCTCTTGAAATACTTCCCTATTTTTTTCCTCTTGATTTGGCATTTTTTCAAAGGAAAAACGAGAGGTGGATAAAGCTTTTGGTTATGATCATTTCCTGTTTTTTTTTTTTTTTTTTTTTATAGGTTCAAGCTTTACTTCCAAACACTTGAGTTGTTTCAGTACTACTGACAAAGGAAAGATGACCTCTACTGTAGTAAGTAAACAAAATGCTTCTTTTTTTCTTTCTTTAATGGGGTTTTTTTCTTTACAAGTAGCATACTATTGAGTTATGTACTGGTTAGTAAGTCTTTTAAAATGTGGATATAAGTATTTCTTGTGTTTTTTGCATAAAGGGAAAGATACACTGTGGGACAGGTATAAGAGGCTTGAATTAACTAGGATTTCAAGTGCTTGGATACCTGTAGGAGAGATTTATGCTTTTAAAGATTATGTTTGAGAGAGATTGGCATGGCTTCTGATTTAATTCTTAAATCTCTCACAAGTTAAGTATTCCGCAACCTGTTGTTAAGCCAGTGTGTTTCAGAAGTAGCTCAGGTGCACTAGGTCTTCCCATAGGACAGAATGGCAAGTAAGCATTTTTCCTAGACATGGAAAGCTGAGTGCACAGAGGCTGTTAGTTGGCAGCATTTCTTTTGATGATGGTATTGCCTAAAACAGTCCGTGCTGCTTATTTGTTTGCTGTTGGATGTTCCAGTGAAATAGTTGGTACAGTCACCTGGTGGGCTGGGTTCAAAAATCCTTTCTAGATGGAGTTACTTTGGACCAGGAAACTGATCTCTTAATATGCCTTTGGGCATCACTGTTATTCTTATTATTCAAAGTATGAAGTATTAGGCATGTGCTGTAAATCTCTCTCTGTGCAAATTTGAGTCACTGGTATGTATGAGCATGTGTGGTGGGTTCCTATGGTAGCAGAATTACTTAGTAGGGTTTTGTATGGAAACGGTATCTTAAATTTGCTTTGTCTTAATCACAGTCTTGCCTTTTTTTTGTTTCCTTTCCTGTAATGTTATCATTTAGGGCCCACCGCCATACTTTGAAAATCATGGCTTTCAGCCAGAAAACTATTCTGCCAGGCCACCAGCAGGTGCTAACCCATATCCACCATACTTCTCTACAAATGCTCCATCAGTGCCAACCTATGTCCCAAGAGTTTCAACCTACCAGTCGACTAGTCCAGTAGCCCCTTCAACTGGGAGGACTTGTTCATCAGGCAAGATTTCTTGGGATTTTTTCCAGTTTTAGGCTTAATGTCTTCCAGAGTAAGGGGGTTTTCCCTTCAGATTCTGGTGTTGAAGGAATATGCAAGAGCCTGCTTCCTCCTTGTGGATGAAGAAGTGGTGGCTGGGATGTGGGTGTAACTGCATCCACAGTGAAGGAAGGGTGTTGGAATGGAGAAAGTCTGGTGGAAAAACACCATCTACTTTTAATTTCAAGGAAATATACATAATGCTGGTCTCCATGTTGGAAATTTCTTATTTGTAAACCTAATTTCCCTTTCTGTCCTTGTTTCTGTTTCAGGTGTAAAGAAAACCATAATAATTGTAATATCCATTTTAATAGTCATTTGTTGCGCAGTTGGTGCTTTCTTCATTTGGTATTTTGGTAAGAATTACTTTTTTGTTTTGTGTTCAGAAAGAAAGGAAGTAAAACACTTTTATGGTTAGAAGTATGCATTTCTTTATCTTCTTATGCTGAATTAAGGATAGGAAAGACTTTGTTATCTATCTCGTAAGAGATAAAGTGATGTTGCTTGAAAAGCCACAACTATGTGCTTTTAAAAATTATTTTTAAGTAAACAGTGTTGCTATTGCTTTCTTTTCCATTTGTCAAGTAAATGTTTTTGAGATCAAGCGATGTCATCACCTTTTTGACTCCTGGAGCTGCTTATTCAGTTGGCTTTTCTGGAAAGCTACAAAGCGTTTGGGAAAAGCTGCTGTAGTACAAGTGTACATCGCAGTAGCTTTGCTGCAGAGCAGTTTGATGTCTTACAAGTTTTTTTTGCATTGGTGGATACCTGGCATGTGACTGTCTGTGGACAACTGATCCTACAGTACATTTCATTAGGGAAATGACTACTGTATATTGTCTCCGACATGAAACTCTGTTCTAACTTCTAACTTGACTTAAATTCAATGGAAGGAAGGAGACTGAAGTAAATTTGTGTAGCTTAACTGGTAGAGTGTAAATGATTAAGATGTATTTTTTTTTTTTTGTAAAATGGGATATCTCTCGGAGCTGAAGTTATTCGTGATATTTGTCTCTGTGATGGCTTTGATTTTAAAGTTGTGTGAGCCCAGTCCATGTAACCACCGTAATCTGGAACACAAGTGATATGTTCTGTGCAGGACAGGAAAGGAAGAGAGAAGGTAGTTCATTTAAAACTGTTAGATGACACTTTTGTGTTCTTAGGGTTTTTGTTTGTTGTTTTTAACTGATTTGTATGGGGTGAATGTAGTCTCGTTTTAAACAGGACTGAAAGCAACAGGGTGTAATTGGAGTAATTTCTTTCTTCCTCCTTTTCTGATTATAAATGCTATGCTTTATCAGCGTGAAGTTAATTCCTTTTAGACAACTTAATGGTGTTTGTTTATTCAAGGGAAGCAATGGACAAAATCCAATCAGCTGCATCAATAATTTAATTTGACAAGCAATGTAAGGGAGAGATAGCAATAAATCTTCTGTTGTGTCAGGCTAGGTCTCTTCCTATCTCTGAGTCTGAGCTTTCTGATGCTTTGCTCCATCAAACTGGCATTCTCCTTAAGGTGAGAGTTGGCAGTAGTTGCCTGAGGCTAAACTGATGTTCGGTCTAATAACTGTGCTGCTTTCTCCTTACAGTAGAGAATCCTTGCCTCGGATCGTTAGAGTGTGGGTCTTCAGGAGTGTGCGTGCCTCCCTCAGATTGGTGTGATGGAGTGACCAACTGCCCAAATGGGGAGGATGAAAACCGTTGTGGTGAGTGCTGGTGGTCAAGGCAGGGGACCTGTAGCCAGCTGCAAGCATTCTTGAGCAAATCCCCTTGTCTAAAGCTTGCCTAAGTTACCATAGGGCCGGCTTAGGCTCAGTTATATCTCTATAATGCTTTAGGAAGTTTGAGTGCTTCAAATCCTATATTCAGACTTTCAGCCTGTTTTTGGTCCAATTGCACAGCTGAAACAAAATGACTGGCTCAGCAGGTCATAGAATAATTAAGGTCAGTATAAACTTCCAAGATCAGCTGGTCCAACCATCCCCCTACCACCAATGTCACCCCCTAAACTGTGTTCCTAAGCACCACGTCCAACCTTTCCTTAAACACCCCTGGGGACTGTGACTCTACCACCTCTGAGCAACCCCTTCCAATGCCTAAAAGTCAAGCTGGTTTGATTTGGAATAAGCTTTAAAATATTACCTTCTAATTTAAATCTAATTTGTGCAAACCTGAATATAACATTGGTTCTGGAATGAACAGTCATAATTGACTTCTTAGTAGAACTTCAGGTGATAGTGGAAGTCTTTTTCCATATATTTCACATTCCTTCTTCTCCCAATACTTTATTTTCAACTTTATAACTGCTTTGTGTAAGAAAGCTTAGTCTGATTAATGTTTCCAACTCAAAAGGTGTCAAGAGGAGTTTTGGTGTAGAGCTGAAAACATAAGGTGGAAATGGATTCAATTTACCCATTCCAAAGGTGTGGCATCTTGATTCTAACACCTGTGTTTTGCTCATTCTCTGTTTGGGAACATTCTCTGTACATGCTTCATGCAGTGTTAGTGTTTACTGGCATATGCTCTAAAGCTGTTCCTCTCCGTTTGGTCGAATAATGTGTTTTTGAAGAAGCTTGTTCAGTCTGCTCTTTCATTTGAACTATTTTATATTGAATTATTCTGAAAATAAGTACATAGTAGGGCATGGAATGTCAGAGTTAATTGCTCCTTGTTACATTCTTTGTCTACAGGCACTTGTCTGTTTAGTGTATTTAAGATCTTATATATAATAACAGTTTCTGTTTTATTTATACATAATACACGGTTGTGTAGGTAGATGATAAAAGTGCTTGGGTATTTCAGTCTTCTGCAGTGGTGGAATATGAAAAAGAATTTCAAGAATAAAAACTGAAATGACAAGATGAAAACTATGTTGTACATTGCCTTTTAAACTGGTAGTTATTTTAAATTGCCTTGCGTGAAGGAATTAAATCGCTGTTATATTTCTGTCTACTTGGTATTTAACCAGAATTTGAGTAGATGGCAGCATTACATTAATACTGGTTTATAGATGCAAGCAAATATAATGGGTATTAAATAGCTTTAAGTAGAGAAAGAAGAAATATAGCACGTGCAGTGTTCTTATATATTTTTTTTCTTACTTTTCTGGCAGTTAGACTTTTTGGACCAAACTTTATCCTTGAAGTTTACTCACCTGTCAGCAACACCTGGTATCCTGTTTGCCAAGATAACTGGACTGATGATTTTGGAAAGATTGCGTGTAAAGATATAGGCTATAATGTGTAAGTCTAACCCTTATCAGTCTTTGAAAATGCATAGAATGGTTAAAATTTCCCTCTTGCAGTTTTTAAGAATACATATGTGAAATAAAAAGCGGCTGGCAGTCTCCTAAGGACACACATAACAGATGCTGGTGTGAAGAGCAGCATAAACGTTTGTGGCCAGAATGCTGTCCATGTTCTCCCTGTGTAAACGCTGTAGCATAAATTCTTCCACAGCTAAAATACTTTTTGTTGCCTCTCTTTGTTGTGGTTGGCAAATACTGTCTTCTGGTGTGAGTGGGGTAATGCAGTGAATTTATTGTCCAGGAAGAACTTGCACACCTGCCACTCAGAATTAAGGTCTCTGAACCAGCAATGCCTGAAGGAGTTTCCGATCAGTAAGACAGCCCAGCAGCTACTGTACAAGGCTGGTCCTCATCTGGAAAGCCCTGCAGAGCAGCAGCACTTACTGCCCTGCAGATGTCCCACAGAATGGCTGTTACATCCTATGGGACCTGAACTTTGCTATGCCATATAAATGTACCAGCAAAGGCATCTCTTCATTATGTTCTGTTTCATAAGGCTGAAGACTCCTACCATATACACGTACTAGATAAAAATATTTTAATCTAAAAACTGTCTGATGGGAAACTGAGATTGAATGTTTAAAGAAACCTGTTTGTCTGGCATTGTACTGCTCCATTGGGTTCTGTGCTTAATATAAAATATATACATATTAGTGTTGTTCATGTCAGAAGCTCTGGCTTGGCACCGTTTATTTTCACTCGTTTGAAAACTGGAACTGCTGTGTTTCTTAATAGGCTCTTTCTGTTTTACAGAGATACATATTACAGTAGTTCAGGAGTAGCAGCTGAAGTCAGCTTTAAAAGCTTTATGAAGCTGAACACAAGTGCTGGGAGTACAGACTTGTATAAAAGGCTATATACCAGGTATCTTAATACAAACTAATTACCTTTTATAAGGGGTATCTTTAGCTGTTGTGGGACACACAGCTTCTGCCTACAGCATAATGCAAGCACTTCCTTCTCCGGGGGTTGTTGGAGGGAAAGAGGCTGCCTTTTAAATCTGCTTGCAGCAACTGCTCTTACCTCTATTTAAAAGCACATCTGTCACTTTTCCATCTTTCCACTCCTTTTCAAAAAACATAGGTGTCCCATCCTGTTCCCATGCTGTATAGAAGGTTGCTCTGTCTACTGTACCTTAACTCTGAAGCCTCTCATTTCCTTACCTGTAGACTGCTGTACCTGCAAGGTTTCTGTGGCTCCCTTGTTGTTCAAAATCTTCTACGACTGCTTCATAAATCATCTCAACTTTATCTTATGCTGTTCTTTATCTTGCTCCTCAATAGGCTTACAAGCCTTTTGTGCTGCCTACCTCTACTGGAGTCTGCGGGCTTCCACATGACAGTTTTGGTGAATGCAAGAAATGGTGGAGGCCAGATGGGTGTTGGTAGGGTAGCTGGAGAGAGTGAAGAAAAGAGGGAGGCCTCACCAGGAAGATGAGTGAAGGCAGGGCACATAGCTGGAACGGGTAGGAAGCAGCTGGAGAGTGAGCTTTGCCCGCTGTTTGCCTTGCTAGCTGCCTAAAAGCCTGTTTCATTATTTTTTTTTATTTCTATTGCAGCAATGTCTGTACATCAGGAAAGGTGGTTTCTCTACGCTGCATACGTAAGTGTCCTTGTTTTCCAGACCTTTGCATGTTCACACCTTTGAACAGCTCTGGCAGTAAATCTTTCTGAATCGACGTAAATAATTGCCGTCTTTTGATGTGTAGATGATTTAACCGTGCTTCCCAAGCTTCACATTTTAAGGAACAGAATTGAGGAGGAGACAAGGGGGATATTAGGTCCCCAGTTGCTCTCTCTCTGTTGCTTCTGGTTCCTTTAAATGGCTTGCCCGTGGTGCGCTCTGTATCCATCGCTACATTGCTGTGGTGGGAAGTCTGTAGTGCGGTCACTGACATGTGGCCATCAGGTGGACACCGTTCCTCACCATAATAGCGGTGGTGAGGTGACTCCTGGGCGTTGCCTGTTCCATTGCACAACACAGCGTTGTGTGTTTATGTGGCTCATTAAAGATAGTCAAACGGTAGCACTCAGAGCGTGCAGTGAACCACCCTCGTATGGTTCACTTCTGAAGTGATGAACTGAGGGCAACAGCTACCAGCGAGGTAGGGCAGTGTTTGCGATGTGAAGGGTGCCTGGGCCATGTGAGGCTCAGCCCAACTCGATCCTGTGAGCGAGCACTGTAGGGCGATGGCTGGGATGTGGGATCAACCAGCAGCAGAGTCTGCTCTCCCCTCTCTGCTGTGCCACAGCGAAGCCTGGGCTGAAGAAACCGCCTTGAAGACCATCTTTCTCTAACGCCTGTCTGTGTGTGCCTGATTCCCCAGAGTGCGGCCTGTCCACCAAAAGCACAGCCATCATGAACAGGATCGTGGGTGGCAGCGCAGCAGCGCTGGGGCAGTGGCCGTGGCAGCTCAGCCTCCACGTGCAGGGCACGCACGTCTGTGGGGGCTCCATCATCACCCGCGAGTGGCTGGTGACCGCGGCTCACTGCGTGGAGGGGTGAGTGCCATGTGGGTCTGCCTGCGGGTGGTCTTCCTTGCTTCTGGCTGGCAGCGGGGCAGAACAGATCTTGCAGCTTTCTGCTTTAAAACGGAGTCAAATGCGGGCATTGGATATGGTATTTTAGCTATATAGACTTAGTGTTGAAGGAAGTTTTGGAAGCTGCAGATAGTCTGATTTCTACAGGAAGAAAATTCTATTTTGCTTGTTGAAGAGGGAAATTAAATCGGACGGATGTACTGGGCACGGACACCCACCCAACTTAAAAGGCAAATTCAAAGCACCAAACTGATGCCAGACAACACAATGCTGTCACAAAGGCGTTACACTTTGCCCCCAAAATGTCCAACATTACAAAACTGTAGATGTGATCAGTTGAAACATGTCTGTACCCTTTATTTCCTCATATCTTTATGCTATAGAGTCAAGCAGTAAAGCCCAAGTCAGTATTAACTGTAGATTTATACCTATCCAAGGAACACTTTTTGTAGGCATGTGCAGAAGAAAATAAAAAGCTTTGTCCCTCTTTAATGGGAAAGCACAGTTTTAAAGGACAGTTAAGGGTGCTTTGTGGCAGAATGTTTCCTCTTCTATTGGAGGAAAATCCAGTAAGCACAAACATTTTAACGGTTGGTTGGCTGGTTCACAGTTTGAGACGCAGCCATGGAAAAATAACTTTGTCTTTCACCTTGAGAAAGGAATGCAAGTGTTTAGTTTTATGTGAAGATCTTATCCCCCCCCCCTCTGTTTTCAGATGTGAGCTCTGTAATACGTGACGTGTTAGGAATGGCAACCAAAGTGTAGCTGGGTTAAAAATAATACATGCTTTCAGGATTTTTTTTTTGTCACTTCTGAGGGAGAGAGTTTTAACAGTTGTGGAAAGCTTTCTACTGAGCATTTGTAAATTGTACTGGAACACAGTAACTACTTAAATTACATCTAGACCATATGCTTAGCATTTTTTTTTTTTAAAAAAAGGCAACAAACACCACCAAAACAAAAAACCACAACCCAACCAAACATCCTAATAACATTTTCAAGATAATGAAATTCCTTCACTAGATCATGTTTTTACTAATTCTGGCTTCTGCTGTCCTTCCGTGCTTTGGATAGTGCACAAGTGATAAAACTGACATGTGAGACTTTAGAAATAACAACTTGATCCCTCAGCAACTGAAATCAAAAAGAGGCTTCAGTGTTGCAGTCTCAGCCTATAATTTGCTGTGCTGAGTGACTAAGGGGATAGACAGTAATTCTTAATCTATTTGAAATATTTTTTTTTGGTATATTTATGAAACTAGAATCAAGCTTTCACAGACTTAGGCATCATACTCTGTCTTTCAAAAAAAAACTGACCACGATATTATTATTATTATTTTTTTTTTGGATTAAAATAGCTCCCTTTTATGCTATTTATCCATTTCACCTTTTTTTGATGTGTATGAGACACAGGTATCTGGACAAGGATGTCTCCTTTTTTTTTTTTTGAGGGGGGCATGTTAGTATGTTTGGATTAACATCAGTAAAAATCATGCTGTTAGTTGGCTGATGAGGAAAGACTGGCCAAAAACAGAAGGCATGAGTTACTTTTTAATTTATCCTCCGAAGTGGTAGCCAAATGCATGTACGTTCTTGGTGATGGATGCTAAAGACAATTCTTTGAAGTTTGTAAGCTGAACTCCCTACCAGGGAAACAAACCTTTTAACATACTTTTTTTTTCTGTAGACAACTTTCTGACCCATATGTTTGGAGAGTTTATGCTGGGATTGTGAGCCAGAGTGACATTACTTTAAGAGCTGCATATAAAGTGCAACAAATAATTTCCCATCCAGATTATGATACAGACACTAAAGACAATGATGTTGCCCTTATGAAGTTAGAGACACCGTTGAGTTTTACTGGTAAGTATTCTATTCTTTGTAAGGAAAAAATCCAATGCCAATGAGCACATTTCCTAACATCTTCTGAAGTTAGTGAAGAAATCTTCCTTGCAGATATTTACTCATGGGAAAAGCAAAATGTGGGTAGAGACACCTTCAAGTGCCCTTTGATTTCCTAAGTAGGGTTTATTTATGTGTAGTACCAGGTAAGGGAGTTTGGACTAGGTTTAAGCTTGTTCGCTGTTCCCCATGGTCAGTAATGTACATTTACTGCAGAGTACTGTAAGGTGTTATCACTCCTATATGTGCAGTCTCAGAGAGTAAGGGTGGAGCAACTGACTAAATGGTAAACTAAGCTATATCAAATAACTACTGGGGTGGGGGGGAACACACACCACCCCCACCCATCCCACACCCACAAAGTCCAAAGAAACAAAACCCCTGTCCTAAGAAGTTCCTGCTCAGAGGGAAGAACGTAACACCTCATGTTAGTAGGTTGCTAACCTTTTTTTAAACACGTAAAGCTGAAAGGGGCTTTTCTTAAAAGTAGATGCATATTCTTTATAAGCAATCAGGAACATGAGAAGACAAAGCATTATTTAAGCTTTTAAGTGCTTTATGTATATAGGTCCTATATGTGTATAGGTGCTTTATGTACAGGTACTGTATATTTCAGTGCATCAGCTTAAAACTACTAGAGGTAATCTGGAGGGGCTCATCTTCTGCTGGGTGTAGGGAGGTTGCTTTTACCAAGAAAATGTCTTTTTTTTTTTATTTCTGCATTTTATTCTTCTTGTATACAGGCATTGAATCCTGCTTGCGTTATTTTCAGCAGGGTTTTGTAAACAGAATGAAGCTAGCTGTTAGAAGTCTTTGTTCTCTTCTTTGTCCTCCTTTACTGATCAAGAGGACTGGTGTTAATTGTTGATGAATTGAGCTAGAACCATTAACTGTGTTTGCTCCTCACCTTGAGGTCAGGATGCGGTAGGTAGCCCTCTAGGAAAGGGCCACTGCTGAAATTCCTACTGCTGCTTATGTTGCACAGTATTGTATTATCCTTAAGGAGAGGAGAAAAAACATGGTGTGTGTATATATTTAAAGCAAGTTATGGTCATGCTGAGAAGTTTCATTTGCGTTTTTTTTTTATTTATTATTATTATTATTATACCTGGACATCTGGGATTACAGACTGTCACTGTGTGCTTTTTTTGTAGATAATGTACAGCCAGTTTGTCTGCCTAATGCAGGAATGACATTCCAGCCCAATCAGCAGTGCTGGATATCTGGATGGGGAGCAGAGTCCCAAGGAGGTAAGAGTGGCTCTGGGACTATTCGGGTCTTCTACAGAGCTGGTCCTCTTCTGGCTAGGTAAATGTATAAGAAGGAGAAAGAAAAGGGAAGCAAGCTTTCTTTCAGTGCCAGAAGGTCCTGGTCTGTGGTAGGCATGGGGTGGGGGTGGGGGGGGGGCTGCTGGGGAAAATGGACTCTGATTTTGGGTATTGCTTCCCCTTTGTTCTGGGCTGTGAAACAGAGAACCTTCTTACCCATTGCTTTGCTCATGGGCCTTTAACAGCCCTGTGTCTTATGCAGTTGATTCAGGGTTGTGGTGAGCAGGTCCTTGTTCTTTTGCCTTAGGGTACACCGACAGCAATGCAGAGTAACTTCCTGACCTCTGGGAAGGGAGTTGTAGGTGTCAAAGTGTTCTGTGTGATAGACCATATGTCTTAAGAGTCCATGCCAAAGTTTCTAGTGGGTTTATTTCACTCTGAACAGTGCTAGCTGCTGGGATTTGTAATAGCTAGTGTGACCTGAGGCTTGTTCTAATCTTGTCTTTTTGTGTGTGTGTTTATGTGCATGTTTCAATTTTAGGTAAAACATCAACTAACTTGAATTATGTCATGGTACCTTTAATAGAACGTTCTAAATGTAATTCTATCTATATCTATAATGGTCTGATTTTGCCTACAATGATCTGTGCTGGATATCTAGAAGGAGGAATTGATTCCTGTCAGGTAATTATTACTAATAAACACTTGATAATAATCTGGCCGATTTATTTTTCATCTTCTTAGTAGGAGTTTTGTCATCTATTAATTAAAAACAGATCCTACAATTATATATTTTTATGACTAACACTTTGGGCTTCCAGTTCATTTTGTGGCATCCTGAATGGTAGCAAGTGCTGAAGTCTTGCTATATATGCCAAGAGGGTAAGGTGCCACTTTTTAATGCTTTGAGGATGTTTTGTGATTGTGTACTTGAAAACTAAGCTCTTCGTAATCACTACAATACCCTAGCATTACACTTGTGAACAAGAAAGTCAATGAAGTCTTATCTCATCCAGTGTTTTGGGCAAACAATTTTCCTTCCTATGGCAAACAGTTATCATTTAATACTGTAATTGCCATAGCATTTTGTTTTAGTTGTTCTTCTGAAATGGTCTTTAGCTTTTTTGAAACCTAACCTGTAGTCCTGAAATGAAACGAATCATATTCTGTATCTTTCCTGATGGTCAGGCCACTGATAGTATGGATGTTTTGTGCAGGGTGACAGCGGAGGTCCTCTGGTAACAAACGAAAGCTCCGTGTGGTGGTTGGTTGGAGATACCAGCTGGGGAAGTGGCTGTGCTACTCCCAATAGACCTGGAGTTTATGGGAATATGACTGTGTTTACAGACTGGATTTATAAAAATATGCAGGTAAGATATTTTGGTCTTTAATATTTTTAAATGCCCCAAATATCGAAGCTTAAATTTAATTATTCATATCCTGTGAGCTGTCTGATAAAGCGATTCCATTGAAAAGCATCCAAATAATGGATAAGATGGTCTGTTAGCACAACTATAAATTTTTGTTTTTTGTTCTAAACAGGCAAACAGATGACAATGCTGTCTGTCCTTGTTGATGATCGATGTTTCTGAGAACAAGAAAAAATGAAGCCATGGGATATTTATTCACTTTTACAAATGATTTTTCTCCTTGAATTTTCTTTTTAAAAATAACATGAAGGATTGCACACTCGGTTCTGTACTGGCTACAGTGACTGATTTTAATCAGTGAAGGATTATCACAATGAGCACCTTTCTTCTTGATGTGGTGCCTGGCAGAAAGTTGTTCTGCCAACTGCTTTCTGAGATGTCTTTTTTTAGTTGAGTACTTTCACTTGATAATCAGGTACAGGTTTATAATGGCAATTTTAATCACAATTTAACGTAAGATTTTTGTAGCTGGATACCGAGAAGGTTTAGTAGCATTTTAAATTGAATGTTAAGTAATGTGAACATTGAATCTCTGAGCTGCTGGTTGGCAATTTTAGAAGTGAATGTTTTGTGGTATATATGAAGGGAAGTTTTCATGCACTACGGTAGAGACACAGGAAAAAAAATACTGTATATTCAGGTAGTTAAAAATCCTCAGGACCTTGACTGCCGTTATTCAAGTCAGACTGTTCTGAGAGAGCAGTCTGGCTATCTCAGTAATTAAAAGTGCTCTTCTGCTTAAACTGCTCTGAATCTGGAAGGGGCAGGACCTGCTGTCACTCGATGTGGACCAAGGAGAGGGATGCTTTTGGAGCTGCAGTGGGAAGCCAGGAGTTAACCATCCTGACAGGGGTCCCTGGCTGAGCACATCATGATGACTCCTGAACTCTCCCTGTTGTGAAAGCTGACAGTCTGGTCTGTCCTGTCCTGTCCGTGAGTCTGTGCTGCAGGCAGCGGACCTCTGGCTGCAGTGCATGTCCAGAGGCTGGATGTTCTGTGAGAAGAAATACAACCCCATGTTTCTGCCTAACCAGATGAACTACCTCATTTATTAAATTTGGCTTTTAATTCATTAGAGCTCTCCTTTGGGTACCTGTATGATGCTTTTAGCAAAAGGCAGTTAATATCACAGTGCCACCTCGACTAGGATTTTGAAAATAATTTATAGCCAGTACACAGGATCAAAAAGCCATAACAAGACACATTTGTTAAGAAAGATAATTTTTTTTTTTTTTTTAATGAAATGACTCTACTAGTCTTGTTTTCTCTTTTGGTACTGAAATGCAATTATCTTGCATGAAAACACTGCACCAAATAAATATATTTTTTTCTACAAATAACTTTCCTTTGTAGTGTTTTCTGTCTGGAATGCTTTGGAAGCAATTGCTGAATTCAGTGTCTGAAATCCTCTGAGTATCTGATTTAAGAAAAAAAGAAACAAGACGACAAAAAAATAGTAAGAGGGTGATCAAAGAGATTCCTTTACCTCCAGTATTTCAGGTCCTTAGAGAAATCCAGAAGAGCTGGATGTCCAGGAATGCTGGATGTCTTCAGTGGCTGGGTCTGATGAAATCACGTTTCTGGTGAAACTGAGGTAAAGGGAAGTTTAGCCTGAAGGCAGTGGGTTGAGGCACTTTCACCCTGTTTTGTTATTGCATTTCATGCAGCCTGAAGCAATGTGCATCTGCCTCTTTTCTCAAGGTGCTACAGGGTGTTTTCAATGGCACTAGCGTCAAGTGTGCCTCGGGGTTTACAATGAAGTAGTCATTGAATTTGAAGTACGTTCAAAACAGAAATTAAGTATGTTCATTGTTTTGGTATCAGGCCATTACATGGCTCGTGAACTGCAGTGTTGCAAGTCTCCAGTAGCAAATGTGGAAAACTGTTAATAGTGCTGGACAGGGTTGTAAAAGCTGTATCCTCCACTGGGGTGAGGGCTGTGCTGCAGAAGTCAGCCACCTGCTGCTGCAGTGTGGTGAAGAGGAGGCTTCTCTTGTAACCATCTTGGAAATTACTTCATGACAAACTGTCATAGGCATGTGTTTTTTTAGCTTTATGCAGCCGATAGCACAGTTTTGCCCATAAATCCTCCATGTGAAAGATGTCACAAATACAGTGCAGTATTACATTTTGTACCTGCTTCCATGAAACGAAAGACATCTTTTGGAAAGGTTTTCCTCCTCCTTTGGGGGGTAAGATGACAGGTACCAAACCCCATGCTGAGACATCCTTCCAGTGTTCAGTGTCCATAATGGATTAAAACACCCAGGACATCCAAATCCAGCTGTCCAGTGAATCCTCCATCAGACCCAAAAATTCAGCCAAGGCTCCAGGCATCCAAAAGAAAAGAGTCTTGGGGTTTCTCTACAACTCTGAGATCTGAAAAAGGAGAAGCAGATATAATATAATCCTGGGGATATACTTATCAGATGTGGTTAACTGTATTTCCCATTAGGCTGGAATTGTTGCATACCAATGTGAGCACCATCTCTACCTCCTGGGATGAGACTTAACAGTGATGACACCTTGCACAGGCATCCTTCAGGCAAGGGCAGGAAATACAGCAACCAGCACAGAGCGAAGCAGAGGAACGCTAGGGATGGGCAGTAAGTGCAAAAACAACAGACCCACCAAAACTGGAGCTCAATCTTTTCTTTTAAAAAATATTAAAATGATGCACAGTAGACAAAGTTTATAAAATGAACATTTAGAAATAGGATAACATTCATTTAACCACATCTCTACTAATGGAGCATTTTAAACAAGAGTAGGTGTTCGTGTGTAACAGACTATGGAAAATAGGACAGAATAGACCACTCTTGAAAACTTGAGAAACTGGCAGTAAAGGTCAGCGCTGACTTTATTTTTCAGAGGGTTTTAGATCAGTAATACTAGAAAATCAAAGTAGAAAAATATGTCTGAAAAGTGAAGAAATCTACAGACAGCTAAAGTCCTTCAGACATTGGTAGGCTTTGCTGAGCCGATTAACTCGGCCACTGAGGTAATTCCTCATTTTAGCAGCTTCACTGTTCTCTTGAAGTAAACTGTTTAATTTTTCCCTTTCTTGCAAAAGATGCAACATTGAGGACTGCAAGTTGTCGCCGAAGTCATGAAGGACAGCAGATAGGATGATCAGAGGAATCTGATTGGAGAGGCGTTTACTTGCTCCCTGCAAGGAGGAAAAAAAAAGTTACAAGATTTGCTTCCCAGAAAGAAAAAAAAAATGGGGTTATAGGTAATCTACTAAGTGACAGCATGTTTTAAACTGTTATATTGAGTTACTGTTCAAAAAGTGAGTGCTTCTAGGAACTAAAAAATGTTTCCTGTTAGTCTCTCTCATGCCTAAAAATCTAAAAGTTAAGATTTATGGGAATATCTGCTGTTCCTTTTTTTTTGGTTGTTTTTCTGTGAACAAGAGCCAAGGTATTTCATTGCCTACTTAGTTCTATCGGCTATCATTTTTAAGATTTATGCTAGGACATACCCACGAATAAAACTTGTCAACAATTTCTGGTATCAAACCTGTTCTCTCTGAACACCTACCAATCTGTTATGGTACTGGAAATTAAATTGCGCTTTTTTTGTTCCCCCCAAAAGGTAGCAGATTTCTATATCTAGATGGGGTTTCAGTGTGATTGTCCTTTTGACTATGATGGGTTTGGAGTAAGCTTTACCTTTAAGGGAAAACATCTTCAGCAACAGTGAGACTGGGCTGCAAGTACATCTATTGGAAAAACTGTAAGAATTTTCTACATAACCTGAACAACTCTCTGGCCTGGTTTATCTATGCAAATGGAAACAGATTGTCCTAGAAGAGGTTGGGAGGCCCTTTCCATAGAGATGGCCTCAGGGCACGGGGGCTTAGCTGGTGCTCTTGGGCGATGGGAGGTGCAAAACCTCTCCGAGGCTGGGAGGGAACTGAACCTACCCTTGGAGGCCTTAAAGGGTTTAGGCCACCATCTCCAGAAAAGTCTAAGTTTTTTTTTTGGCTTCAGATATCTTTGGAGCTCAGCAGCTGCAAATCTTTGATCTACAAGGATGGGATCATACTTACGGTGAAAAATACTGAAGACTAGATATTCAGTTTCTCTTACTAGTTTGCAGAGATCTAGTAATAAGGAGCAGTTCAGCTGAGTCAGCAAGAGACTTACTGAGCCCGTGTATCCTCCAGGCACTGCTGACTATTGCTGGGGGGCGTAGATGCCTTAAAAAAGGGTATTTTTCTGCAGCAGAGCTCTACCCAGAACTCTGGCAGACCTGCCATAGGTGACATGGGTTCATGCTTGCCATTTGCAAAGGCCATAGGTGCTTAAGAGCTCTCCCCTCATTTCATCTCATCTCATCTCATCTCATCGGCCTCTCATAAGTTGCATGGAGATGTGATGCCCTGGCATCCATTGGTGATTGTTGAAAAGGCTGCTTAGGGCATTTACAAAAATGTAGAACTCAAGACTTTGTGGTATAGCAGAGGGTATTGTGGGGCTGGAGGGAAGAAGCTTATGCAATTCTGCTTTTATCTCTTGCTCTATTAAAACTGATGGCTTCCTCTCCCTCTCAGTATGGAAATCTGGAAGAGTAGCCTGAACATTTAATTGCAGGAATTTGGCAAAACCTTGCTATTGAAATTCAAGGTGAACCACTACCTAAGTTACTGCATTATTAATATTTAATTGGTGCTTTCTGAGTGAGTTCTATGAAACAGAGACCAAAAGCGCCTTCTGATACTATGCATTCTCTTTGCTCTCTTGCTCTGAAATATTCTTTTATTAAAGCATCCAATTTTCTTTGCTTAACATCTGCTGAGCTATCTGCAATGTGTTATATTCACCTGATCTCTATATAGAGCCAAATTCATTTTAACCAAACATCTGATTACCACTCCTCCCGCCCCATGAGTTAGTACCCAACTGGCAGCCCCAGCAACCACTTTCTGGAGGTAGCAGGACATGCATGATCAAAGCTCCTTTACTGGAATACGGGTCTTGCCATCACCTGAGTATCAATAACTTTTCATTACAGGGCTAACAGCTCTTCCCCATCTTCTCCTCTCCCCTAAACCAGGTAAGTAACAGTCCTTCCATCCCCCAGCACTTGTCCCCATAGGAAAAGCCAGCCAGAGAGCATTGCTGTGCGGGCTTGTAGGCTGTAAACTCACAGTAAAATAGGCCTTCGTGTGAGAAATCATTTCCTGGATGAAGATGGCATTCTTAGCTGAAACGGATGCAAAACTGATCTCCTTCCCACCGTCTTTGCCGAGTATTTCTGCCTTGGTAGAGCGTAAATCATCCAAGTAGATGTTATCCTGGCAGTATACGATTCTCTCCATTTTAAACTGGTTCCGGATGTGATTTTCAGCATTCATTGCTTGTGTATTTCTAATGACATCAATTTTGGTCTAGGGGAAAAAAAAAAAAAATAAAGTTCTGAGATGCTTAGTAGTGTCCTTGGGGCAAGATGAGGTGGATGTGGTATTCCACACCTCACTGCAACACTGGCTAATCCCAGGTTGGCTCTTGGTGCATGCAGTAATGCTCTAGCTGCAGGTTCCTCTGCCACTGCAGAAAGAGCAGGAATAGGCAGCATTTGGTCTCTCCATTAAACAGGAGTGGGTTCAGTCATACCCTGGTGCTTAGACCCTGAGGGAAAATACCAAGACTGGTGGGAACAAGCAGCAACTGCCAGAAATTAGTTCAGCCAGCCCTCTTTTTTTGCATGCCTTTTGGATGCTTTTGCTTGCATTTCAATTGCTTGTCCCTCTTGCATTAAGCCGTGATAGCAGGCACTGAAGTGAAATGCATTTCCTCTCCTACTGGTCTCAGAAACTGCTGTTTCCTATCTGTTGTCAGCAAACCAACCTTGTCTACCTCCTTGCTATCTGGCATCTTCATTAAAATAATCTGATGCTTTCTGGCCTTTTTGGTGCTTCCACCTAGAAGCCTGCAGGAGCAACAAATTCCCCTTAGTCATCCTTAAGGTCTCCTAAAATGCTACCTTAGCATCCCTGCATCAGAATAGTTTTTTGTTTGTTTGTTTGCTTGCTTGCTTGTTTTTTTCCAGACTCTGCCAAAACCTCTTCCTTTCTTAATTTCTCTGATTGTGCTGTGACTAAAGATGCACCCAAAATTCCTCTGTGCTTGGCTGAAATAGGTTATTTGCTTGCTGTCTGGTTGACTTGGGACTTTGGTAGGATTTGGCCATGCAAGTCGCATAGCAAATCACCTGTTTCACTCACATTTGCCTTTGAGTTTCCCTTTAACCATTGTGCCATGTGAGTGGGGTCTGCTTTCTGGCTGGCCTGCGATGCTTCTCACCTCTTCCTCAAAGCTCTTTCACAGAA